CAGCCTTGTACATTATAGGAACATGCGCAGTTCTTCACAAATTACGTGAAGAGGAGGAGTTTGTTTTTTGGGGTTTAGGATCCAGTTTTTTTAGCATAAAGAGACTGGTTTTTGAGAGAGCGCGAGAGAGGGGGGGTGACCCCTGGTAGACTCTCTCCGGGTAGGCTGTGTGCTTCAGAGCTGGTTAATAGCTCTCGGTAAGGTCCTCCCAGACGGGGTAAATATCTCTCGAATTTATTGGTTGTTGGCTGAGTGGAATGATTTGATGAGAGAAAAAGTGTATGGAATGTTATAAATACTGCCATCTGTGAGGAAAATCTCCCCTCCGAAATTGCAGATAGGTATGGGTTTTTAAATGTTATACACGCCGTCTGTGTCGGAAAAAACGGTATGAAATGATGTGAATTGAGTTGGTGAAAATGAAAAAGTTGAATGCTCTTTTTATTGTCACCGGTCTTTTTACGAGGAAATACCTCTAAATTCTATCGGGAGAATTTTAAAATGTCACAACTGAAATGGGCAGTTGAAATTAAAACATTTTGGTAATAAATGTAAGACTGTGAATTAAAGTTTCATTTGAACATGATCACAGCACGGTTTTTTTTGTTAGGATGATTATAATGTTGTAAAGAGAGAAGGTAAAAACCCTGTATTAGTTTGGACCTATTTTTCTTCAAATAAACTGAATCCCACCTGTTGGATTGGGATCCTTTAAAAGACATCTGTGCCCTCCTCTCCTGCGTCAAAGGTAAGATTGCACCCTGCCACACACACACTTAGGTAGGAGCACACTCCATTTACTGATATCAAAATCCTTCGGATCGCTTAAACAGATTAAAAAAAGAGTTGTCTGAATTGAAACAGCAGTTAATTGAACCTGGTTCTTCGGGGGGGGGTTAGGAAGAGGTGAGATCTTACTGACGTTGGTGGATCTGAGCCAAGCAGCAACCTTACATAGACTCAATAATCTTCGGAAAGGTCAATTAGGAGGTCAGAGTAATTTACCGGAATAAATTATCAGGACCTCTGAAAACTCTAAACACATGCCACCATTTCAGTTGACCTTTTCTCAGAAATACTGTCACATAACATCCATATATATATTTCAGTGCTAGGTTGATGCTTAGCTAAGCTAACTATGAAACACTTTAACTGACAGGACTCAGGAATCAGGATCAACTGTGTACTGTAAGGTAGCTTCTAGCTTCATGTCGAACACAGACAGTAAGTCAACATTTCCCAGAGAGCTTTCTTTGAAATCACCAAGTAACGCTAAAAAACACAACATTTAGATTGTATGACAAAGTGTTTATTTAATATATCTGGCTAGCTATAGCTACTTGCTAACGGTTTAGCTTACCCGCGCGATTCAAAGTACGTCAACGTAGCTATAATGTATGTTTGCTTACATGTTCGCATAACTTGTAAGTTTACTGACAGGTACATACCTTGTTCACCTGAATCAGGTGGTGGCTCTGGGGTTGTTGTGTGAGCCACCACTTGAGAATTGTCGTCTTTTTTATTAAAGAAATGTCTAATGTCCATCTTCAGAATCTCCGCGTCCGGGGCTGACAGTTTAAAGTTTAAACATTGTCACAGAGGAGAGGTACGTACCTGTCAGCCAATAAAACACGTGTATTTCCATGCAACTCTCTGATTGGTCTGGTGGCGTCATCTTGCCTCTGTGTTGCATTCACTGAACATGGGAAATTACAATTCTGCCGTCCGTCCTATAGGTAAAGTAGGTTAATGTATTATATTATTGAGGGAGAATTTGTCCGGGGCTAAAGAAAAAACATCCGGGGCTAGCCCAGGCGACGCTCCTGGTGTGCATCCATTCTCATTGGATAACGGAGAATTGCACACCCGGAAGTAAGTATTCCCCTTACTGTCGATTGATTTTACAGTGATATCTGCACTACTCGTCGACTAAAAAACACCAGATTATCCTTGTTAATTACACAACATTGATTGGTTTAAATTGTGTGCAATGCTTTTGTATTTTTCCCCTTCGATTCGGAGAAACAAATATTTTTTCGTAGTAAAGGATAGCAGAAGACACTACACTACCCAGAATCACCAGCTATCCTTTGGACTACACCATGTGCTCTGTTTGACAAACCCCGTGATAGTCTTCAAGCTCTGTGATTGGAGAGTGTGCTCCGAGGGTTACGCCGAGCCTCGAACAGCACTTGAAATGGAATGGAACCACGGCAGACTGTCCAAAACTGGATTTGAACGGGTCCCACGCGTCCCCCCCCTCCCCCACCCACCCCGTCCCCAGAACTACACATGCTGGCTATTCTGTTTCGCAACATGTTCTCTATCTATGGCACGTCTCTACTGGGAGTTGTAGTTTTAAAAGACGTTTTCGTATTTCCCATAATAAGAAGTTGCCGGTATTAAACGGTGTACATCCCTGGAGGTTTAGGGGATTAGGAAACACTCACATTTAAAAACATATACTTAATAAATGGGTGAAAAATTGCTTGTGCCCATAATGGGCAGCATTAATATATATACACACATGCCAGCTAAGGTCAGAAGAGCTTTATTTAACAGCTGGTCTTATGTTTGTGACCCCTGTTGTTAATTGATACATTACTTACATTAATTGATAAGCCTGAAACATGCACTTGTCAAGGTTCAGAGGCAAATTTTGCAAATATGGCAGTAGCCATCGATCAGCTTAAGATAAGATATACTTTATTGATCCCAAGTTGGAACATTTGCGTTACATCAGCATGTGTAACAGTTGTAAATATACAGTGGTGTTTATTTGTAAATCATTTAGTATAATCAACACAATTCTGTGTTTTATATTTAACATTCTGTGTTCTTTATTTATTGATTGTTCAATACCTGGACAAGACCGGAGATGAAATATCTACATACATCTTATAAGAGTATAATACATTATGTATAATATCAGTTAAAATAAGTGCTTCAACATAGTTAACATTGCTGGAGGTATGCACAAATATTGATAGATGTCTTGTAATTTACTATTGAGGAACCTGCGACCCAAGTTTTTCATTCAATGCATAACTACACCATAGTTGTGTGGGCCTATGATATGTCAATAAACCTTAGAAAATCTTGAAATCTTGAAAGGGATGTGCAAAATAGTCATTATATACAGTCTTTAATTAACTATTAGTAGAGAATAACGAGTAATGAATATACTTTATATGGATCCTATTCATATCTAATAATACAAATAATGAAATTCAATAACATGCTTTCACCACTAGGTGTCCCTTTATATCAGCTGTGCACTTTATGGTGTAAATACAGCCTATCTACCAATTGGATCAAATATAAAGTCAGCCGAATTAGTGTTGATACTGCAAGGAGACGTATTGTGTGAAAAGAAATGTAAGATGTTGTTTAATGGCTGATATATTTATGATCCACGTCACGTTTTCAGTTCCTCATGTTTGTCTAGAAGTCTTCTCATCAGAGCTCTATAAATACAGAACTACGGCAAGTAATATTTAATGCAGCCGAACCGTGTATTACAATGCCGTTATGTGATGACTTTCAAAAGAGAAAAGCAAGCACACTCGGAATAAAGTATTATTATTTTTTTTTTTTTAAATGTTTCGGTCTGTTTCCGGTATTTGTTAATGACGATGTGCTGTGAGATGTGGGACTGGAATTGCACAGGGGAAATACCGTAGGCTATCTTTAGATGCGGATTTTGTTAAACTAATATGTTTGCGCTGTTGTGGACCACACTATACATTGACGGGGAAGGGGGGTAGCAATAAAGATAACACCATTAAACAGTTACACAACATAACAGAAATAATATCGATAGCAGCGTCCCTAGCAACCACCTTGGTAACAATGAAAACTTCCTGAAGTAATCTTCGTAATAACTAGCAAACTAAAGATCATGTACATCCACTGCACACATAATCTGAAATAACAACTCATATTTCTCGCATCAAATGACATCAAAACGCATTTTAATGGCCAAACTAACTTTAAAATAGGCATTTTCCACCGAGAATAAAACGAAGTTCGGCCATGTTTTTTTTTTCTGCAGGGAGAAATTTAAAGATCACGTGACATAGACGCCAGCCATTGGAATGAATGGTGAAAAAAAACGGGGTTTTCAAACAGAGCACATGGTGTAATCCAAACGATAGCTGGGGATTCTGGGTAGTGTAGTGTCTTCTGCTATCCTTTACTCCGAAAAAATATTTGTTTCTCCGAATCGAAGGGGAAAAATACAAAAGCATTGCACACAATTTAAACCAATCAATGTTGTGGTGTACAATTCTCCGTTATCCAATGAGAATGGACGCTCACATTGCCTTTAAGGGCAGCCGACACAAACGAATGCCGTGCTTCCATGAGCGTCATTACCAGTAGAAATACATTGCTTTTAAAATCGTGCTGTGCAACACGAAAAAAAGGGGAAAATCTTGTTGGTGAACACGAATCAATAGATTAAAAATCGTGTTGGTGAACACGAAATGCCATGAGACTGGGTTGAACTGTGACCTAAAAACCGAGATACATACCGAACCGAAATGTTTGTGAACCGTTACACCCCTAACAGTTATGCAATTGTACTACTTCTGAATTATCTGACACTATATCTAGTCTAATATCCAGATGATGATATAACATTGATAACTACCTTAGCGCTAGTGTAGACCAACTTATATTAAAGAATAACACTGATAACAAAGCTCTCAGTACTTTGTGACACACCTTGTTGCCTCACATTTTAAACCTCAAACTGGTTCTTTGGTGGTGAGCTTTTAATATGACACACCTCTACAAAAAAGAGTAAGCAGGATGTAGGAAGTAATCAGTAAACAGTAATAATGGCAGGAAACCAGGAATGAGGTTTAACTCCTAACCTCAGATATTCAGTTACAGGTTAGTTAAATCCAGAGGGCTGAACCGTAGGCCTGAGGACAAACAACACCATACTTATATCATATTTAGTTGGAAGTGTAAATATAATCAGATGTACTCACCAGTGTTTATCAGAGACTCTGCTGTGTTGTTCAGAAAGATCTGATGAACTCAGTTTGTATTTTCTTTAGACAGAAACAGAGACTAGTCTCGACTGCAGTGTGGCTGCCTCTCTGACTAACTTAACTTTCGTTTCCTGAGTGTGACGTGTATGCTCTCCTCTTTCCTCTGTAGCTCCTCCTCTCACTGCAGCTGGTTTGGTTTCCTCCCTCTGATTCACACAGTTATTGTGAATCAGAGGGAGGAAATACCAGCGACTCTTCAGGTTAAAATGGAGCAAAGTTGGTGCTAACAGTGGGGAGAGTGAGATATGTGAATATGTTTTTCTTTATTATGTTGAAACTCTCTCAGCTATACTTTAACCAGAACAGTTTATTTAATTGGAACCTATCCTCATTGATACCATATCTAAGGCAGGACTGGTGTATTATTTAGCATGAATTTGTATCTAGATGTTTATAATAAAACTGTAAACTGAGTTTGTTCATAAAAAGAGGATCACATTGTGAGTTAATTCTACTTCTTACAGTGCAGGGAACTTTATTTAAAGGATTTTTTTAAAGAAATAAACTCTTGAACTTTGTTGAGAAACTGGCAAAGAGTAGCTGGGGTCTCTTTGTTGAGTGTTCTCTTAGGTTGTTTATATTTGTTGTCCTTGTATAAGTGATTATCCTCACATGAAGGTGTGTTGACTTGTGTATTTGTTTGCCTTTTGAGTAAGAAGTAACTTTTGTCTCATAATGTCTCAGTCTCCATCTAGTGGTCGTTCTGTGTGATGACATCAGTTAGTTGTGAGCATGGAGGCCTGTTGTTGCTGCAGGGAGTAGAAGAGGAAGGCTGTCAGATCTCAAGACATTTTCAGAATTACAATTATTATGCTTTTCTGTACTTACAAACCAATCATTCTCAGATTACTTTCAGAGAGAACATATAACATTTAAGTTATAATTGTTGTCAGTCTTTGTTACCGGCAAGAAGAAACACTGCTGTGGAGGAATTCAAGTGGAAATGCTCAGAGTTTTAATTTGCCATTTTAACTTCAATTTAAACAGTTTTAAATGTATTTGATTTTAAGACTGTTTATTATAAATGGTTTGTCATGTGGTATTGTTTGAATGTAGTCATTTTATATTTGTTATTAGAATATTTCATAGTGGAAAAAAACCAAAGTAATTTGAAAACAAAATGTACTAACAGTAAATGGTAAATAATTAAAAACATATCTAACAATACAAAAACAAGGCGAAAGGATAACGGACTAGTTCATCACATCAAGTAGCTTTGTTGTTGTGGGTCTGGCCATCAGCTGCAAAGAGGAAACGGCTCCTAAAAACTGCAGGAAAGGAGACCAGGTTTTATTGAAAGGCATTTTATTGTCTTTTAATAATTGTTCTGAACGCACTTGTTTGCTGATAGCTTCTAGCAATGAGCTTTGTGATGTTTTGTATCGCCTTGGACCAAACTTCTTTAAATGTTTGATTATTTTAAAGGACAGGATATCTCCGTGAACTACCAGGTTACCAACACAATGCGTCCCCCAGCTCTTTGGTTATCAGCAGAGTGATTAGTGATGAACGAAGCGTCACATGACCCGGTGTTAGGGCTTAGAGGGGGCACTAGGAGGTCCAGTAGAATAAGGTCCAACTTGACTGAGACCAGTAGCTCTGAACAGTCATGGCCAGTAGGAACAAGGAACCAGGTACGTTAGGGAGAAATGCCTTTACAGAAAGAGGATGAAATACAGGTGGATAACAGCTGTTCTAACTCCTCCTGTGTGCTTAAGTTCAACGGTTTTTAAGTGTCGCCAAAACTTGATAATATTTGTCCAAATCTCCTCCTGTTATCCAAAGACTTTGTCTGTTTTAGCCGCTGTTAATAACTCCTCTCTCTCTTTGTCTTTGTTTTCATTTCAGTTGATGCCGATGAGATTAAGAGGCTAAGAAAGAGATTTAAGAAACTCGACCTAGATAACTCCGGCTCCCTGAGTGTGGAGGAGTTCATGTCCTTACCAGAGCTCCAGCAGAACCCCCTCGTGCAGCGAGTCATCGACATATTCGACACCGATGGAAACGGAGAAGTCGACTTTAAAGGTAAATTAATCATGAAACTGTTTCCCTACTCCCTCTGATATTCCCTTTGTTTTTAAAATGTAACTTTGTTAACAGTATCCTTTCTAAGTGTCCTCAAAATGACCCGTTGTTAAAGATACAGTCTGTCTGCTCCTGACTGTCCTCTGATTGAAATGCAATGCAATGAGCTGGCAAATGCACAAAATCTGGCACGAGAAGTCTGACATTTGCTAATTTAAGAGCATTATTAAGTGCTTTACCGTTAACTTATGAATCAGTTAGAGGTGGGTGCATTTTTTTGTAAAACTTGGTGAAAAACCATTGCACGAAATGCCCTCTATCCTTGATTATGTCATTGTAATGTTTCACAATATCTATCTGATATCAAAACTATCACAACGGAGTAATCAAGTAATGTGTTTAAAGTTTGAGAAGCTTTTCCCCATAAGAGCAAGTACAGATTACTTCACATTGGAAAGTGCTTCTAAATTCCCTTAAATCCATGAGGTACTGTCCGTGTATCCAGACATCAAATGCAGTATTTACAGAAATCTGTCACTGATCGCAGCTGCATTTTTAGTGCTGATAACTAAATGTAGTTTAAACTTTTAATTATCAATAAATTAAGTCCTCTGATGTCATGACTTATGCTACAAATAATTGTTTTCCGCTTTAAGCAAATATATGCCATATTCATAACTAAACGCCTATATATCCACGTATATTATATTATTGTGGCACACATAATGACAGAAATGAATGGGCACTTCCCTGGCCACAGAACAATGTAAATACTGCAGTCAGCTGCACCTTTCTGCTCCCTGGGGTGAATTCAAAGTACTTTAAATGTGTACTTAGGTAATTGTACTGGTAATATCTGAATTGCATCAAAGCCATTACTTTCTGAATCACTACCTGTATTTAGATTTCTACATTAATCTTCAAATGTGTTATATTATTTACTATTTGATTCAGTTATTGTTCAGTGCATTGTCTTGTATTTATTCCAATAACAACAACAGCATTTTTCAGCGTCAAAGGTAACAAGGAGCAGAAGTTGCGTAAGTGTCCTTCAGTTTTCTTCATATCTCTGTAGCCTTGTTATCATTACTAAACTCAGTTATACACACTTCAAGGTTTGTAATCTTTTGCCACAAAGGGGCTTGATTGTGTTCAGAGAGTCTGAAAAAACAAAAAAGTGCGTATTTAGAGAGACTGAAAAAAAACAAAAAAGTGCGTATTTAGTGTCTGAAAAAACAAAGAAAGTGCGTATTTTCAGATCTAACTACGGCACTTTTTCTTTTGTTTCCGAGGAGAATTGGGGGTGGGGTTAAATTAAAAAGTGGCGACAGATAACCTACAGGTATCTATATAACAGTAAACACTTACGGGACTGTCATTTTCCTTTTACTTATATCAGAGTATTTTACAGTTACTTTTACTGGACCTAAATACTGCCATATACTGGTGATTTGACACAAAATATGTAAGCACATAAGCAAACAACTTTCCTGTGAGCCTGAGACATTCACAGTTACCTGCATTATGATTAAAAACAGGTGATGGATTTAAACTATTTAAACATGTAATACTGTCCTCTGACCAGCAGGGGCAGCGTGAGGCCACGTGGAGAGAAACTGATGCTGATGTTTGTGGACACCTGTTTAGTTTTATACTTCCTTTAGTTTCCTAGTTCCTGAACAATCATAATCTTAACTCATAATATTCCAGCATATTACATTTGTCCTCACTGTGCAGCTCCTTCAGCGACAGGCTGCTGCACCCCACCTGTCACACCGTGCAGTGCTGGAATTGGGCCGGTACTCACCGGTACGCAGTACCGGCACTTCTGGTTCTGACCCATGGAGTACCGTTACTTCTTGCTCAGTACCGGCATGCTGGCGGTACTCCGGTACTCATGCACCGTGCCAGTACTCAACTATGGAAGCAAACAAGAGACAGAAGTATTTGAATTTTATTAGACACCGAATTTATAGCATTGAAAATAATTACTTTGAAAATCATTAATCTGAATTTGTTTTGCTCCGAATTTATCTATGTGAAATAAAAATGTAAAAATTCAAGTTAAAACAATTTGAATGTTCAAATTCAGATCCCAAAAATTCAAGTGAAAAAAATTCGACGTCAAATATTTCGGTGTTTAAAATTCGATGTAAAAAAATTCGGTGTGTAAAATTCGACGTCAAAAATTGCGATGCAGCCTCATCCGGGCTACTCAGACAGGATAAGCAATCGAGCCCTAATGCAATCAAACCGACTTCTGGCCTATCAGAGCCAAGCGGCAAACCCCGGGACAGTGCGGTGAAGCCCAATGCTGCAAACTGTAGGCGATGGATGCAGATGGGAGCAATTCCCGTAGACCCTTTGTTAAAATGTCCAACTTAAAAAATGAACATGTTTCTAGCCTGGATCTACAAAAACATATTCTGTATATAGTTAGATTCCCCCTTCATGACAACGGGCTGCTGCTCCTAGCTCCTCTCTGCTAGCTCCGTTAGCTCCGTGATGCTACAGCGGCTCAGCTCATGAGGAGAACACTACTTGAACTCGCAGTGTTTGTTGTGTTGGTTCCTGGTGGACTATTCGTCATGCAAATATAGGATTTATCTGCGGTTGAAACAGACCGTCCATGAATGCAGTTTCTTCGGTAAGTCAACCCTGCGTACTTTATGTTATGTTACTGGTGTTTTTATTAAGCTAACGTTAATGAATGTTTAGAGTTGGGGGTAGCATTTGAGCAATCGTAGCTCCATCTGTGCTAACGATGCTATGCGTAGCATCCAAGAGTGTAAAACATTAAGTGGGATGCTACTGTATACCAGAAGGCTTCTGTGCGAGGTTGCTAAAATAAGGTCATCTTTGTACGTTAGATAGTTAGTTTGCTATTTAGGTTACTGTATGCATTGTTAAGGTTCATTTAAATTCGCTATGCTCTACTATAGCATAACATAGACTAGCTAACGTCAACGTATTGTTGAAGAGAGGCTTAGTTTATATTAAATCAACCTCACAATGAAATATGTGTATC